TCGAAACGCCAGCATGTAACGGTAATGGTTGACCCCGAGATGAGCTGTCGCGACGATGTTCATCACTGTCGATATCATGAGCATCGCCTGAGTACACAAACTTTCGTCAGAATGCAACTGGACCAGCGATGGAAGTGGGCCTTGCTCACCTTCATATGTCCCCGTATACTATCTTCACTCCGAGGAACTCCAAGACTACCCGGGGAGAGAGTAATGCACAGTGTGAATGCGTAGCTTGTTATCAAAATTCCTGCATCATTCGGACGTAGTTGTCTATGGGTCAGTTTGGCTGCCAGGTTGGGTTGAAAGGATAGGCTATGCGCTCACCGTATACGAGTGTCTAGATGGTCGCCGATTCAGTATATCAGAGCTTGAGTAGGGTTCCTGAACGCAGTGGGTATTCAATGGCTTACCTCGACCCAAACAGCTTCCAGAAAGAGGTTGCCGAACTCGGACATCAGCCTCGTGCCCAACAGGTTGTTCGATAGAGAGGGGGAGAGGGTGGAAGGGGAAGAAAGGCTTCGGAAGAGCAAACGCGACGCTTATAAAATTAGGGTAGTGACGGAAGCGAAAATTGAATTCAAGTTCTCCGTCCGTCCCAATTGAATCCAATTTGGTGACGAATGTTCGTTACCGCGATAAGATAAGATCGAATTGCAAGTTACATACTTACATAGCACGCGTGAGCCGATCAACACCTTATCCGTCCGGTTGACGCTGGACCACTGCCATGTCCCCAAACGTCGTCAGCGTTCTGCTCTACATGCCCATCTCCAGGATATACAAGGAGCAATCGTCATGACAACCATCCTCAGCAAACAAACGCCCAATACATACATTGACGGTAACTGGTCTCCTCTAAATGCTAAATTCCATACGCCGCGACCAAAAGCTTCAAGATTCCAGTACGTGAGCGTGCCATTTGACCTGTCTGTTCTTTTCCACTTTGAATTGGCGTTCCCGCCACCCTATTAATAGTAGGTGACGACGTATGGAGATTTCTTGTTACTCTTTTTCCTGGACTGAGAGATCTACATTTACACGCGCAGATCCTGAAAAACGTCCGCTGTGGACCGTTGCCTTCGTGACACCTCAGTATGGCTGGAAGAGTCAGTACGAAAGGATCGTGAAACACGGAATGGTAACCAGGTACTAGAGAATAGTGCCAACTGTGTTCCTAGAGTTATTCACGGCTTAATTGTTTTTCAGGCATCCCGTTTCTCGCTTCCCACCCTTAGCACCGTTGGCTTGGCAAGACTACTCATCATCAGTCCTCCTAGACACCAAAGGAATTCATGACATTACTCAAAACAATACATCGCCTTTCCGCTCCCTTCAATCCATACATTTCAGGGCCATTCCGGGCGTGGGGTCCCTAGGAGCTAACCCCGAAGATAACATCGCTGTTTGCCACGTCCCCTGAGCCTGAACATGAGTCGAGATCTCCGTAGCGTAGGTCTCCTCGATTTGACACTTCCACAGGCTCGATCACAACTCCCGACTATCTGATAAGGTAGGCCAGTCCTCCACAATATTCTCCTCTGTGCGCACAATATCATTACTTACGAGAGCTCGTTTGGCATTCAGTCGGTCTTGATATCTGCAACCGCCTCGCTAACACATCAATTATACGCCGCAACTCGCGTACAGCAATCTCCGTGATCGCGCTAAATGAGCCTGATCAGCGAAGCCATCAACCCCATTCATGGACTTTCAACTGCGGAAAAGGTGCAGTATGCTCGTTTTTATGGACATTCGCCATTATTCCGACATCAATGCTCGAATGTAACAACCACGGATAATCCGCAGCTCACGAACCTCGCCGGGCGCTGTCCTTGGAAATTCAGTTTTCTGAATGACTTTCATGATACATCTAACATAGAACCGAGATACCCGACCTGAAGCGACAGGGCAAATAAAACCAACGTGGATTGGAAGCTCGTACTCAAGCATGGCCATGCTCAAGACTTTCTTCACGCACGTTCTCTTGGTGCTCGTATGCGCGTCAATTGGGAACGCGCTTTCTTCTCTCGGAGAATCAGACCTAACCAGGAGGGCTTCAACTCACCATATCAGAAATCTCGTTAACGGTCTCCAAATCTCATCGTTTCATCCAGTAACTACATACAAGGTTCGTTTGGTTTTATTACTTTCACTCCCTTCTGGACTTCCTCTGATCTTTTATATATAATTTCGTAGATCTTCGGAGAAGGCCTCGAACCACCATCTAACGGCCTGATGCGTCGTGATTCAAGCATCGAGAAACAAACGACTTCATTCGTCGCCTCGGTATTGGGAATCGACCCCATCGACGTGGGGTTCAGGTCCGGTTACGCTACCGAGGATGCCACGATGCACGGATATGCCAGGCAGTTTCATGTAAGTGTTGCTTTGAGCTTGCCCCGTTTCCGATACGTGTTTCACTCACTGATTGACAAAGAACGGTATTCCATTCAGCAACGCCGTTGCCAACGTTGCTTTTAAAAACGATAAGGTCATCGCATTCGGCCATTCATTTGTAAACATCAGTGAGTCCTGGTCGAGTTTGGAGTTAGGCGATCCTGACCTTTTCAACCTAGGTAAGATTGCCGACCCGAATCCCACTCTCGACGTAAATTCTGCCATCGCTAGAGCCGAAGAAGTTCTTCAGGGCAAGAAGAACACCGTTGAGCCCACTCTCGAGTATCTACTCCTTGAAGACGGCTCGGCAGCTCTCGTACATGTCATTCAAATTCAGAATTGGCAAGGCCGAGAGACCAAAACTTGGTATCGGGCCTACGTAGATGCTCATTCCGGCAAAGTGGTTTCCATCAACGATTTTGTTTCGCATGCATCTGTGAGTACCGCTCTCCGTCTCTCGAGTCTCGAATGTCGTTGACACGGGTTGTCCGTTTCTCAGTATAAGGTTCTTCCAATCTGGAAGCAAACTCCCGATGAGGGATACGAAGTCGTCGTTGACCCTCAACTGCTTACGACCGCTTCACCCACGGGATGGCACCTGCCTAAAGGTAATTCCACCGAGTAAGCCCGACGTTTTAATATACATCGAAGGAATCAGGACTCACACCCTTTCCCAGAGGCAACAACGTCGCCGTCTACATCGGCAGCCGATTCCAAATCCCCCTCAACACCACTTCCCAATCCAGTCCCGGACTCGTATTCAACTACACCTACGACGTCTCCCAAGACCCTACCATCCCATCAAACCAAGACGCCGCTCGTACCAACGTGTTTTACCTCGCTAACATGTTCCACGATACGCTCTACCTGTATGGGTTTACAGAGAGCGCGTTCAACTTTCAGAACGACAACTTCGGGAAGGGCGGAGTTGGGGGGGACAGGTTTTTGGTGAGTGTGCAGAGCACGTTGGGGACAAATAATGGGTTTACTGCGACTCCTCCAGAGTACGTCTCCCTCTCCCTCTCCCCCTTTTTCTTTCTCTTTCTCTTGTGCCCCCATTTGAGCTAAATCCGGATGCATATAGTGGTCAATCTGGACATACTGAATTGACTTTATGGGATTTAACAAATGTGAGCCTCTCGAGTGTGTTTTTAGCCACGTAGTTCACGTATGACTTCATATCTATCCCCAGCCTCAACGCGACGGTGCCATGGAAAACGACCTCGTCATCCACGAACTAACTCATGGTATGACGGCACGGATGACTGGAGGAGGTACCGCTCAATGCCTCGACACTCGAGAAGCCGGTGGGCTAGACGAAGGTTGGGCCGACGCCGTAGCCAAGTACGTTTCAAGTTTGTTCATCGAGCTCAATTCCTCATCATCTACCCTTACCTTGCTAGCTGGTTCTCACACTCTGCAACTCCGCAAGTCCACGACTTCTTCTTCGTTCCGTGGGTTACGAATGGGAACTCGACGTTTTTCCGGACGGGGCCCTATTCGACTTCTGTGGCTACGAATTCGTTGAGGTACTCGGATCTCTCGACTCGGGAGACTTTGCATGGTGAGTCCATTCCGTTCGTCTAAAGCACTTTAGTGTTGATTGGAGCTCTGGTAGAAATGGGAGAGGTAAAAATAAGTTTCCGTGGTCGTCTTCGCAGGTACTGAGCTCACACACACTCTTCATCCTCTCAATTATCGTTAGATATGGTGAGCACTTTCCCTCATCTACCCACCTCCCCCGAATTCACCACTACCCTCTGCTCAAAACAGGGCTAATATCCTCCACAACGTCTACTCAGAGCTTGTGACCAAACACAGTTGGTCCTCAACCGCTCTCACGGACTCTACCGGTTCATCCGGAAACGTCGTATGGCTCCACCTCATTGTAGACGGACTCGCACTTCAACCGTGCAATCCCACATTCACAACTGCTCGGGACGCCATGATTCAAGCCGATACAAACAGGTACGGAGGCGCTCATAGGTGTCTCCTGTGGAAGGTTTTCGCGAGTAGGGGCCTTGGTGTCGGGGCTGAGGATTATGTTGATTCGGATGCAGTTCCAGAGGATTGTTAGGGGTACAAGTGGCAATCTTATAATGAAAGGCCAATCCTTCCTCTACCGTACCCTTCCTAACTCGTAATACACCCGCCCTTTGATGAGTTACACCCCGGATCTGCGTGTGGTTCTCGCTTCAGTTGGCTACGAGTCGACAGTGGCGAAGCGGCTACAATGCTCAGGTCATGAGTGTCAGAATTCATGAAGGGGAATAGGGAGAACTCACTGCAGCCCTTCGTGGCGAACAAAGTAATGAACAGGGGCAAAATAATGGTGATCACCGGTTTGAGCACCATTGTTGGATACTTAGGTGGTATATGTTGCGGAGTACGGTCACGCTCTTATACTTATACTCTCACTCTCACTGGTCAGGCAGCGCGAATAACGATGGCTGTGGCGTTGTGGCCCCCGCGGAGAACTAAATTACCATGCTTCGAAATGATCGAGAGGAAGTCATTGATCCACTTCAACCCGAGGAATTCGAAGCTGAAACTATGTGGAGAGATGAGTCGGAAACAAAAAAGTCAACATTTGAACGTGTTGGCTCGACCCAGGCTCGAACTGAGGACCTTCTGTGCTACAACTAGGAAGAATCAGATTGTAAGACAGATGCGATAACCAACTACGCCATCGAACCAGTTGAGAGCATTATTCGCTCAGTTGCCAACAGTTTCGAAGATGGGCAAATTTCTAAGGAATCGTTATACACCTGATCGACTCTGCATACTCCAGTGATTCTCTCAAAACAGATCCCGGATCCAGGGAACGAGAAGCCATGCCTCCGACCCCTTTGGCCTCAGTTGATTGAGGATAAGAATTAATGATACACGTTCTGAGTGGGAGGCACTATTGTGGGTACGGCGATGGCCCAAGCGGAGATAATGTGATGCGGTGAAGAGATTCCAATGTTACGATCGCGTTGCAGTCATCTGTCAAGCTCCGATTGCACTCCAAGGACTGCCGCCGAAGAAACGTAAAGTTGTCGATCTGAACTATCATCCGACATCCAATATAGCACAGATAACGAATTAAAATCGAGGAACAGCACCGAAGCAGAAGTGAGAAATGGGAAAGAACCAGTATATTCAATATTGCTGAATGCGAAGATAGGAGAGTAGGTAGGGCTTGGGTGCGAGGGAAACACCAGGTAAACAGGTATTCATGATGGAGAGATTGAACGTGTGATGAGGGAGAATTTGTATTCCGATCGTTCCTAGACTTCCATCCCCTGCCGTCTCCATTCTTCGAACGAGTGCGTCAAAGCGAATACCAGAAACAGACGCGTCTCACCAAGGTCACCACTCGTGTAAACGGAACGGAGAGATGTGGACGGGACAGGCAGAGGAAGGAACAGAACCAACGAGCCGTATGTCTAGCTATCCGGTGCAAGGTTCTAAGGGGGCATGGCGGTACGGGTGGGGGCCGAGGTCAAGGGCCAGGGCGATGGTGCCGCCTACATTCAACTTTGACACCGAACAAGCGTCGCCTCGACGGGTCTTGAGCTTTGTTTACTTGACAATGGTAGTGGAGAGATCGACCGTGAAGATCTGAAAGACAATAGAAACGTGTGAATCGATTTCTGAGCAGACAGATGAAAGCGAGGATGACCCAAAATGGCGTACTCAAATCTCTACGACTGGCTTCGAATAATGTCAGCAAATTGGCGCAGGTTGAACTCGTGGGTGGATTTTGAGTTGTGTTCCAGGTTTCGATCACAGTCGTTCTCTCTTTCTTGTGGAGAAATCGTTGGGGTAATCGTTGTCCATCTTCAATCTTGGCTGGCGCACCAATTCAGGATATTAAGTCAAACGTAGACCTATCAAGGAAAAATATGTCAATCAATGGGCATCATGAAAATGTTAGGATATAAACAGGACAGAAAAACCTTCGACCGTGGGCCTCATTTCTATACAAGAGATATGGGGGGACTATATGGGGACTCGTGGAGCGTCGTCGTTGTGGTTGTGGTCAAAAGCCTGGGCCAATCCGCGTCCTGGCTTCGGAGCCGACTTCCGACATCTTGTGATCAGTCTTATCCCCGAAAGTTTGCGTCACCGACTTTTGATTGGATACTTCTTCGTAACGGTTCAACATGAAGATCCCTTAGCTCAGCGGTAGAGCATCTGATTCCAGTGACGAAACAAATGTGATTTGAGATTCCAGAAGGTCGTCCGTTCAATCCGGGCAGGGATCATTCTTTTCTGCCTTCCATTTCTTTTATACACCCTCTGTACTCAGTTGAATTTCGCGCGGCCCGGCTTGGGCTGGGCTTCTCATGCAGCTCTCTTAGCATAACACTAAGTTTCCTCCCTTCTGGTAGTGACATTGTGCATTTTCTGTCCTGTTAATTTGTCGTTCGGGTAGGGTCTTGACAGAGTCCCTATCTTGAATTCTGACGCGCACGACAACAATCGTAGCAAAAGATATAGTGACGACCTCATGTTCCGTTCCAGGGAGTTGAACCCTGGGCTATTGCGTTTAGTAGTTCTCCCAGGCCTAATGAGATTAAGTACATCGTAATGGATCTGTAACTAATATGTCGTGGCAGGCTTATAACCTGATCTTCAGTTGAATACCCTGGCCCGCCACATGTAATGTTTCACTTACTTTCTTCACCCAGCTTCCGTGATAAGAAACAGCGAGGCACGAGCATCTTATCTGAGGATAAGATAACCCTGCATCAGCAAAATACTCGAATGTTTAAAACCTAGGTACAATGGATTCGTGTCAGTAAAATACGACAATCTGATAGTGGTAAATTTCAAGAGTGTTATACCTTAGTAGTAGTTCGGCAATGCGTTGACACAATTCTGGGGGGCTGTAAGATTATCAGAACACGGTTAGAATACGGTTACAACTTACCCGAAACCCGTTGAAACCCCCAAAAACTATATCTGGAATTGTGCCCCGCCAAATTCATCACAGTGAACGAAACACGTTGAACCCGAAATTGGGACGTTCTAAGCGGATTTTAACCAGTTTTGGATGGTTTTAATATGTTGGCGGGCTTATGAACCATAGTAATCACTGACAATGTAATAGAAAGCATATCTTATGCTTTTGAATATGTTATATATACAACAGTGACGACTCACCTTGAGCTTGAACAACGAACGGCGTGGTTGAGAGTCGACTTGGCGGGCAACTGGGCGCTTCCACTGAGCGCTTGCGCTGAATTCTGGTCGGAGTCCGAAATATATCCCTCGCTTGCCCACACGTGGGCAACCCATGCCCCTCTTAACTCTCAACCACCACCATCATCGCTCAACTCCTCAATTCATGGAATCAACAGATAATAGCACGCAGAATAGAAGATTCTTCAAGATAATATCTTCATGTGGGACAATTGGATGCAATTGCGGCACAGGTACGTGCTTTTTTCCGATCTATTGCTCGTTGTATACTGACAACCACAACCTTTACTCTTACATTTGCGTTCAAACAAGAACCTCGATTACCCTCATGAGACGCTGTTAGTGATGAAGTAGGTACGTCGTCACCCATTGTCATCGACGTCATCTTCCTCACACTCTCAACCACTTCCACAGTGGCCGCACGGACCACCTACCTGCTATATAAACCCGAAGCGCTGCAAATTGTCACCTATCCCTTCTTTCTTCCCTCCCCCACCACTGCCCTCGCTTTGAATGTCCTTGGTGTCCGTTCCATCCATCTCCCCGTCGCTGTCTCTCCTTGTCTTTAACACTACACCTACTTGATCTGTCGTCGTCACTCAAGTCACTCGATGGCTCACCTCCAGTATCAACTCAAGCTAAATCATCTAATCATGAGTACGTTCGACTTGATTATCAGGTTTCCTCTTCATACACTGAGTAAGTCCTTCCAGTGCCTGAAAGGACAAAATAGGACGGGCAGAAACGTACGTGCACCTTACTTCCACCCTTATTATTGTCGCTGATTGTCGTAACTATAGCGCATCGTTTGTTTCTGCTGTTTGCCCGCAAATCGATCGCTACCGAATATCAGCGCTTAGCTGCATATATGCGCCGTACAATGTGTGTGTACCTTCGCTTTATCAGAAGGATACACAAGCTCATACTAATTACCCTTCTACCCTGATAGGGATACACAACATACATGGCGGCCAGAAGGAGGCGTGTCGGCTCCAACCCTTCGATGCGTCGTGCGACCATCTCACCCTCCTGGCTGAGTGTCTCGGGTGATGATTCTCGATCATCCTCAATGGTAAAAATCCTTTGCTCACACGCTATATATATATGTGTGTATTGTTACTCGTGGCACTATGTAACGCTCAATGAATGCAATTCACACTTTCTAATCATCGTCTTCCTTTGACCATTGAAATACTTGATTGACTATCTGAATGTGAATATGTGCACCCGTTGAAATACCTGGTTATCTCAAGAATCATTGATAACCTGCAATATTTGTTATTCTCTCTGTGATCCACTACAATGTTTGATATCCGCTTCACTACCCGCAACTCCCTACGCTCCTTGTTATCCAGCACTCCGCCCGAAACTGGTTAAAACCCCCTAAAACTCGTTAAAACGCCCCGAAATCCAGTACAATCTTCACAACTCGGGACAGTCTTCGCTCTGCGCTATCACCTCTGAAACTTGTCAAAGGTACGCAAATGCGTAGATTTTTACTACTATCGTACTCACGGATTCTCACTATTCTTTTGTATTTCAGGAAGGTTTTGATACGTTTATATACGCCAACCCTGTTCTTAACTAGGTACAGCGGGTTTTGGTTTACCTAACGGGTATTGGGGATACCATTGACGATATAAACATACGGGTATTTTGCTGATGACTGATGGAGACTTAGAGTCACGAACAATCAAGCTTCAAGGTGCATATACTATGACAGTCCCGCTACATACGGACCCCGCGGACCCACACCAGATTCCAATGACAGAATACAGCTCCACGGTTGATTTTGGGTTCGGCCCTTCGATTGTAGCATCTTGCAGCATTGTAGTGGCATGATCTATTTGTTGTCATCAGTCATTGCCGAACCTTTAGGTTTGGCTCCTCTACGAAAATGCCCTGGGGTCAGGATTTTGAGACTTGGGTCCTCACGCACCATACATAGGTACTGACCTATTTCGATCAATTCGAATGGCCTACGGTGACCGGTGACCGGTTCATACGAAATTGGGAATTCGTATGAACGCACTGTGACCTGTGACGCGGCGAAAAAAAATTCGAATATCGGGTCTGAGAAGCCAAATTTGGCAAGCTCGGAGGTGTCACAGGGTGGGGCAATTCGAATGGACCCCCTGTGACCTTGTGACCATTCGAAAAATTTTCGAAAACTTTGGGCCGTGTGACCTGTGACATTCGAATTGATCGAAATAGTCAGTATAGACTTTGATGAGTGCTCGGCCTACTCTGAGGTTCGGCCTGGCACGCGCTTGCGACCATCCCCCCCAGTCACATGATTGACCTCTAAAGTTATGACTACAGAGTGAGCGGCAGGGTGATGACACTCGTGGGTTTTGACTGAAATATATCAGTCTCGTTGCTCATTTAAGGTTAAGGACAGTGGCCTGGGCTCTGAGGTCTGCAACTCGACGCCTGAATAGTAGCATTCTGAAGCGGCGCAAGCGACTCACTATTACCGGCCCGAGTTGCCTGCCCAAGATCT